CTCGAGTGTCATGACAACGACTGGACGGAGCTACGAAGCCTGCTCCAGCCGTACGTCGATCAAATATCGTCGCTGTCTCTTGGGTTTTTCTCCGGCGCCGGCGCCTTGGCGGTGGCGGACTTCCGTGGACTTGAGGAGCTGGTTATATACACGGACGGTTCTGACCCTATACTATCTGTCGCTCACTCTATCGCGCAATTGCCGCCCAGCATGCGCAGTGTGAAGTTAATGGACCTGTGGTTTAACCTCAAGTTGTTATCTGGCTTGAATCCTCTCGCGTGGGCCGGTCTCACAAACCTTGAGATTGTGGTAGACGGACTAGATTCCTTCCCCCGCTTACTCCGCTTGTGTCCAAACCTATCGTCCTTGACGATGATTGGAATATTCACGGCAATCGAAACCTCGGAACTACTCACGCACGCCAATCTTCAATCCCTGCGCATCTCCGGGCATTTGCATCTGGAATCGATCGGAAATCTTGGGCTATTCGACGCCATCACACTCCCCAATCTACGCGCGCTCGAAGTCCGCAATATAGGACAGTGGCCTCATGAAGAATTCAAGGCATTTTTGATACGGTCACAGTGTCCCCTGGAGACTCTGATCTTCGGCGGTGGAGTGATGACAACGGATCAGTGGCTAGCAGAATATGTTACCCTTTTTCCTTCCCTCGAATTGGTAGTAGATCCTATGCGTTCAACGTTTTACTTTTAACTTAGATAGAGAGTCGTTACTATGTACATATGTCAAGAAATGATGACATTGGGCTTATGCTATAGCCTAGACTTACTCTTCCACGACTGTTCGATAGACTACTGGTGAATCGTGAATCGTGCGGGCGTCTAACCGAAACCGGGATGACGTATTCAGCGATCCAGCCGAATGTTTACTACCTTCACACCAACAACTTCAAGCAACATGCCACAGACAGACTCACAAGGAAATGTCAATCTCTCGCCGGCCTCGGAGATCATTAGTGCACTACAGATTATCGTAAGTTCCAAAGTTCCAATCAGTCTGCGAGTCATAACCATTCCCTTCAGCTTCGTTCACAAGCAATGGTTTGTCTATGTAGATGTAGTATCTGATGCATTATTGACCATTACCAGATTCCAGACATCGAAACCCCATACTCCAGAGCCACTTTCCCCCAATCCAAACCACTGCGCAATGGAGCTTAAAGACCATAGCATCAGAGCTATTATCACCGACCGCCAGCAGCAGCTAGATGCAACTTTGCACAACATCTCAAGTCTGGAAACAGTCATCGACAAAATCAACCATCTTCACCGACAAATGACCAAACAGAAGAAAAAGATTATCTCGTCCATCACGTTGCACAAGAGACTTGTATCACCTCTTTGGCGCATGCCAACTGAAGTCTTATCCCACATTTTCGTTCACTGTCTCCCAGAAGACAAGTACTTGTCGCCTGCATCAAAGCTGACCCTCGTCCTCCTGACCAGAATATGTCGACGATGGAGGGAGGTTGCTGTGGGCACGCCCAGTTTGTGGTGCAGGCTAAAAGTACCATTCGTCCTCAGAACACTGCTGGAACTTCCCTTTTGCCTTGACTTATGGCTCAAGCGATCACGAGGATGTCTGCTCTCGTTACAGCTCACCTGCTGCACCCTTTCGGGTTGGCAATCGACCGAGCTGCGAAGCCTCCTCCAGCCTTACACAAATCAAATATCGTCATTCTCTATCCGTTGTCGCCTGGGTCCTAACCAACTTGACCCCTTGTTAAAAGACCTCCCAGCTCTTCAGGAATTAATCATCATTGATGGCTCGGTTACTGAACAATGTTTCTCGCGATTGCCGCCCACTTTGAGCAATTTCAAGTTTAGTGGGTTACGATTCGAGCTCGACCCCTTGCTTTCTTACAAGTCTGTATGGGCCAACCTGACAAATGTCGAGATCCCCATACATCGCCCGGACGCAGTCCTCGACTTACTGCAGCTATGTTTCAACCTCTGCTCGTTAGCGATCCATGTAAGATCCAATGGAATTGGAATCTTCGAGCCACTCGTGCACATCAAAATCCAATCATTACGCATCATCGTTGAATCATCCTCATACATCCATATTGATCACTCTACCTCAGACCCTTTACCTGGCCTACTCAATGCTCTTGCACTCCCGAAGTTACGCACGCTTGAAGTTCACTGTGTATCATGGCCTCATAAAGAGTTCAAGTCATTCCTGACACGGTCAAATTGTCCCCTGGAGACTGTGATTTTGGGCGCAGAAGTGAAGATGAGACGTAAGCAGCGAGCAGAGTGCGATGCCCTTGTTCCTTCTCTTGAGGTTTTAGTATCAGAATCTGAAGAGTCTTGATCAAAATTCTTTACACAAGATTTGGTTCTTGTTACCCGCTGTTTCAATATGATCTCGATTTTCGTTAGGTATCTTTCTTCGTACCTTTATGCAGGTATGGTATTGTACTATACTTCACATCACGACAACACCATTCTCTACAGACAATCATCTAGCAGCTACTTGACAGTTGCGTTTAGCCTCGTGTTTTGAACAATACCATCACTACAGGCGCGGGAGTAGTGGTTGTCAGTAATGTACCTTCTAATTGTATGCATGAGTGCCTAGGGGAATGACCAGAATCTGCACCTTCCCGCCAGCACCTTTGGACCGCGACTCAGCCTGGAACTGAGGATCTTTAAAGAGAAGTATGGAACGAAACTCGGTAAAATTGATAGGGCAAAACGCAAGATCGAAATAGTTGTGATAGATACTCACTGACACCGTGACGCAGAAGAGGGAGAAACACGCAATAGCCCTTACGTGATTGAGTTTTCAGCAGGAGGGGAAAGAACGCCAGCAGCTTGTAAACGGGAGTGCTCAAGTTGCGTCCGCAGGGCCACCCTGATCGCGCATCAACTCTCCATCATTTCGTTTTAGCATCATGGTATTGTGTATGTGACAAAAATGCATTCTTGTTATCTAATAATTAAGTGCGTCCCAACTTGTAGTCCAAACCCCATTCCTCCAACAATAAATAAGCCACATGATAAGATATTACACCGTACTATCTACAGGTGACATGTCGGACATGGAAATATTCACAAGGGCTTCGGAGTTGTGCATGTGCTGGTCGAGATGCCAGAGATGGAGGTGCATGCGCGTGGCGATAATCCGAAGGACACATACCTGGAAACTATAAGTGTTTTTGTGGTGCTATCAGTAGTATGAATACGCGATAGAAGTTGGAGGTGCATACTCTTCGAGGATGATGTAGTATGCGGTCTGTATGTGCGGAACATCAACGACTCGATCATATTGAAGGGTATCAAGAGGTTTACGCACATCAGGAAATAGCAATGGCATGACGACGTTTACGGCAGAGAGAACTTTCGGAACAATAATCATCACCGATGAGCACGGAAATATGCACAAGTCTGGACTCACTGAGACCGCATACATAGTAGAATATATTATGCTTCACAAGGGCGGCGTGCATATTGCCCTTGGCTGACCGCCAGCTCTGTATGACACGTATGAGTGTGAGGGAGACAAGTCCTGGGGAAAGCGTCAGTCCGCATGCATCTGCAATGTACGGTCCCAGTTACCGGTAACACACCCAGTTGAAACACGAACAAGAAAATAAATAACATGAAGTATAGGATACTACTCGAGCTCCAGGAGCAGCCTGGGACGCCTGGTATTGCGCTAGTCGTAACTGTGAAAGTGGGGTGAATATGTGGGATCAGTAGTGGGGGAAGGTGAGAGCACAAACCATATGTGGTGGCAATAATGGTAAAACGGATGCCGACAGATGTTACGACCAGAGCCTGACTAATTTATCAACCATGGACATGGGTGTTTGAGGGCATGGGACTCACAAAAGCGGTCGACATCATGCCTACGAGTACAATCCTATTGTTGTGCCAGAGCGCACGTGTTCTGAGTACAAAAAAACCTTAATGAATCGCATGAGGAATACGCATATGTCGTGTAAGAAGAAGAAATACTTTCAGAACAAGTGAGTGACAACTGGGTGAAACCTGTGAAAGGAAAGAGCAGCGCTCGACATCCTGGGACGTGTATGGAGCATGTGCCGTGTACGTACATGAGTAAGTATTGATCAATATCTTGCATTTCTGGTGAAGTCATGCAGTAAGCATCAGTTGAAGTTCGCTGTATGTCCACATACATCGGGATTCTCGGGGCTGAAGTTCACTGAAATACAACACGTCAGTTTATTATGGGGAAGATTGGGTCAACGCACAATATAGGTACATGGCAAGAAGAAGAAAGGGGAGATATCGTGCAGTGATATAAAGGACTTTTACTTTGGTCCAGCGCGACTGACGCAGAAATTTCCACTTTGAACAGTGTTCAATATCTAAACCGAGGTGTATCACGACACGAGTCATACCTCTTTGTGAAATGAAGAAGCATAATCACAGACCTAGATAAATGAGCTTAGCGATGAATGGGAACTTGAAGAGTCGGGATAAGCCTACCCAGAACATCGTTATCGCCACTGAGCTGTCCAGTGAGAACGAGAAAAAACCCGTTTAAAAAGTACGTACCGTATAGGTACTGGTGGAACATGGTACGTTATCTTGCATTCGTGTTAAGAAAGCGACGCACCGTTAATCGCTGCAGAGTCAGGACCGCTGCGATATCGACTGCCGAATACTCCATCTGCACTTGTTCGATAAGTGAAGAAACGGGGTTCTCGCACACACGTCAGACACCTTTTATCTCTGGGAGAACCCATCAGAATCGGAACAGCATTCGAGCGGAAGGCTCGGCTTGATGCATCTGATGATTGTTGATGATTGTTACTAGCGCCCACAGGTTGCACTAGGGATTGATTAGTTTTACATAATCGCCCTAGGGGAACCTATGTTTATAACCGTTTTAGACACACGCCTCTTAGAGGAAGAAATGGCTTTACAGTAATACACGCGTGGTCATGATATGTAAAGCAGACTGAAAAGCAGATTGATACAGGAATCTAAAATGGGACAGGTGTAGTATGTCGGCGAGGTGAACCATAGTCTTCATTTGAATGATGCTTTGATGATCTGGCGAATACTCTGTAGGCGGGATAGAGGCCGGTATGGGATGGTTGAAATTGTTCGAGGGATCGTATTCACATTCAGCTGCAGGCGAGTATCAGTTACATTGACCGGCAGAGCCACCTCACCAATCGCTTTCAATCATTTTATGGCGCCGCTGTACCTGTGCAGACAAATATTAATGATAGCGTCGGGGTCGAAGGCGTCTCATCCTGGAGAACGTATCATTCTCTACGGTACTGCGGGGCAAGCAGTGCTAGAAGCAGTGTCGTTACTAACCCGCTAAAAAGGATGGTTAAATGAATCTGCCGTTTAGGCAGAGGGTTACTAATATACGAGGAGTTATTTGGCATTTTAAAAAAAGGTATTACCTCACCCAAGGTCGAATAGCCATTGATGTACCTGACTAGATGAATGATGGCATCGGGATCAGTGAAGAGATAAAAAAGGGTAAAGACGAATACTGTGTATACATTCCAGGAGGAAACGGTGAACTGCTGCCTCAGCCTTCTCTGGGCAATGCAAGGGTTGTCGGTCTTGCCCATGCAGTGAACATGCTTATTGACGGACTCCACGAGAACTTTGCAGGTAGCCAGGCACTAAATAATGTCAGAAATATGGGGTGCCAAATGGTGGATCCCTCGAGCACGTTCGTTGAACGGTTCAACCAGGTTGCGGACGTGTTTGGATGTGTTTGGAGGTCCAGAAGCCATTGGAGACTATTATGTAACGAGGCACGAGCGAAGGAATAGAGTAAGGTCTTCGAGCGAACGAGAGGCGCGGAACGCACGTCTTGCTTGCCGCGCACGTCATCGTTCGTCATCCGTCGATAGCTCGTTCTGCTTGCTCTTCTTTTCTTTCAAAAAACATAGTCAATACACTAGCTAACCTACTAGAAATACCCAATTTCCTCTCTCACTCGCGGAAAATGGCCGATCCATCTACTGAAGTCCGCCCAGACTTCGCCGGCGGCCTCTATGCCGGAATAAGGAACGACCTCATGGCGGCCACAGGAAGCACAGAGCAAGAAGTCATAGATCGTTTGGCCGAAACCTGGGACACTGACCACGAAGAACGTGTCCGGGACTGGAACCAGCGACAGGAAGCAGATGCCCTCGCTGCAGAAGAAGCAGAAAGAGCACCGCACTCAGCGAGACGAGGAACGCGCCCAGCAGGAAGCAGAGGCTGAGAGGGAACGCTTGGAGACGGAGAAAAAGAAACCAAAGATGAATGGTTTTGACCAATCCGCATCAGTAGGGGACTTCCTATCCCCTCGACCCGCTCAGTATGCCATCCAGAAACTCACCAACTTTGAGTTCGTAGAACTCTGGTATTTCTCACCAGACGGCTGCAAAGAAGCCTTGAAGACCTCGCGGTCCATCGCCGAGAACGACCTTGGCCTCACCAGAATCGACGACCAACTAACTGTCCGTCCAGCGTCAGCCTTCAAAGCTTCGAAAGCTGCCCTCGCCGACCACGAACTATCCTTTTCCACCTTCCTACGGGCTAAGAACCTGTATCTCGTCCAGATCAGCAAGGCCAAATGGCCCCAGACCCACATAGACACCCTGTCCCTTTTCTTCTGGCACCTCGAGAATCACACCATCCGCAACAACAGCGAGATTGGTGACCTGGTCATCCTCAACTACGCCTCCCGTGTTCGCCAAGACTGGCATGACAAGCTCAAACGGAACGAAGGCTTCAATATCGCATCGATTAACGAGAACCTCATCCGCGTGATCAACGAGGAGTTATGGGACAAGATTCGCTCTCGGGCTTTAATTGTGGTGGGTCCCTCTATGAAATACTACGTCTAAACCTTTCCACTAACAAACGGTTTCTTTCCCTACCAACCTTGGAACCTTTTCCTCCACCCCCACCCCAACATAACCTACACCCGGCTCAACTGCCAACAACCATCCTTTAACGCCCGCGATGACATTCCCGCGGATGCTCGCGATGACACTCCCGCGAATGCCCGCAATTTGTTCAACGCGGATGCACGACCCTTCTGGCATACGTGGTTACGTGCCACAGCCCACGAGCAGAGCAACCCCAACGACTTACAGCCACAATCGGAGGTCGAGCTATCGTGATCCCAGAGACTCTGGCCACGAGGAGTACCGCTACAGGAACTCTCGTTCACGCTCCCCATCTCGCGGCACCTCCGAGTCGAGGAGAAGCAGAACTCCATCCCCACGGGGCAGCTCCCATAACCGTCAACGACGCGGGGGTTTTTCCCGCAGCGCAGGCTCACGCGGCCGTTCAGCCTGCGCAGTCTGCCTGGGCCGCTTTGCACACGACATCAAAAAGTGCGAATCCCACAACTTATGGGACGGATCCAATGGCCACTGTCGTCGAGCCCAAGACGGCCGAATCACCAACCTCCAAGGCCTACCTCTCTGCCTCAAGTGGCAACGCCCCGAAGGCTGCCAAGCCACCAACCACGAGCGTCACACAGAATGCTCAGGATGCGGGGAAGCAAGGAGCACGGAGCCAGAAGTGCCCTCGAAGCGAGAAAGCTTAAGGCCACCACACTCCTTATAACCCAGTTGAATGGCAACGTCTCCTCGAAGAGACGGGCCTTATACATAGATACCCTTTTGTCCCTGCTTGTCTCGCATCTGGTTTCTCTGGGGGGATCCCCCCCATTACCTGTACATACACACCACCTAATAACCCATCCGTCGAGGAACACTCCGAAGCCTTTGCAAACATCATCAGTCACGAATTTGCAAAGGGTCGTTTTATTGGCCCTTTTAATGCTGCAACCCTCGAATCAATCATTGGTAAATTCCAAACAGCTCCTTTGTCCATTATTCCGAAGCCAGGCAAGCCTGGAAGATTTCGTCTCATTCAAAATCTATCATACCCTATTAGACCCTCTCCCCCCATTAGCTCCATTAATTCTCGTGTCGATTCCGATCTTTTTCCTTGCACATACGGAACTTTCCCCACCATCTGCAGAACAATATGGTGTCTTCCTCCAGGGTCGCAAGGAGCTGTTCGAGACGTGGCAGAGGCATACAGAACAGTCCCCTTGCACTCGTCTCAATGGCCAGGCCTGGCAATCCGTCTCCCAGGGGAAGACACCTTTGCAGTTGACACATCATTTTGCTTCGGGTTCGGCCCATCAGCGGGAATCTACGGAACCGTTGCAGATGCAGGTGCAGACATTTTTCGCGCCAAGGGAATTGGCCCTTTATCCAAATGGGTCGATGACCACTTATTCTTCCGAATCAGAAAAGAACACCTGGCCGAGTACAATAAGCGACGTGAAACCTGGGCCAAAGACATTGCCAACAACGAGGGTGTCGTCATTGAAGGTGGGCGCAAATGGTTTAAAGGAGCAACATGGCCAAATGGCTCCACAGAAGAGTTCGACGAAGACGTGTACTTTCCCATCTTGGATTTATCAGCTCGTTCACCACGATCACGCGAAGACCTGCAATTTTCCTTTTGCATGGATGACATTGACCACCTCTCCATACTTCTCGGCATCTTCTGGGAGGTATCGAAGGACAAACCCTTTAGCCCCACCCCCCATTCATTGGGTTCACCTGGAGCATTGAAGACCGAACACAGTGGCCTTATCAGCTGAGAAGCGTGCAAGTACCTCACTGCGGTCAACACGTGGCAGTCAAAACGCACCCACACACTCCATGAGGTCCAAAAACTCTACGGAAAACTGCTGCATGCCTGCCTTATCGTCCCGATGGGCCGCGCTTACCTCACGAGCCTGGAATGCATGCTGGGTATATTCGGAGAGCACCCACACCTGCCCAGAACTCCCCCTCGTAGCACCCCCGAAGATATCAACTGGTGGAAAAGCACCCTCAGTTCCCCCAACCTCATTCGTCACATCCCAGGACCGTGCGTGGTACATGACTTCAACGCCTATTCGGACGCTAGCTCTGGTCATGGCATCGGAATCGTCATCAACGGCAGATGGAGAGCCTGGGTCCTCACACCTGGTTGGAAGCGAGACGGACGGGACATTGGATGGGCAGAAAGTGTCGGCTTCGAACTCCTCGTTCGCACTATCATCAAGGCCTGCCCCCCCGGGATTCATTTCAAAGTATAGGCGACAATCGAGGGGTTGTGGAAGGATGGTGGAAGGGGTGTAGTCGCAGCCGCACCACTAATGCCGTCTTCAAACGCATTCATCACGTCGTCGCGAGTACCAAATGCACAGTACTTACTCGATACATCCCAAGCAAGGAAAACCCAGCAGACGGCCCCTCAAGAGGGATATATCCCCCCACATGTGATGCACTTCCCCCAATCCCAATCCCAAGTGAACTCCAAGCATTCATCTCCGACGTCTCAGAACTCGACACATCCAATTCCTCCACCTGGCCCAGCCATAACTCCCACTTCCCATCCCCAAGCCGCGCTACCAGTCAATCGCTTCGAGAAATGGGCAAAGAACACCTCGACCTCGAGCTCCGACGCCGCGCTTTCATCAACCGCGAGTTTGAGCGGAGGGGAGAAGAGCTCCACCAAGCGTCGCAAGGCTAGTAAGTTGAACAGGCTATTTGGCTCGTGAAACGGCCACTCACATTTCTCAAAATGACAGTGTATAACACTGACCTGACTCCAATCCCATCTGCCCTCCGTCCTCACTGCAGCGCAAAGGATCGGCTCCATCTATGGTTGCCACAATCCTCTCGGTCAACCAAAGACGCGCAAGGAAGACTCGTCCCCTTGGCACCCTCTGACATCCAACGCATCCGCGACGTCATGCTACATGGATACTCAGAAGGGACTCGCGAGTCCTATGGCTCTGGCCTCCTCGTTTACCATGTGTTCTGTGACAGCAAATCCATTCCAGAGACCCAACGCGCCCCAGCTAGCAGCATCCTAATCGAATCTTTCATATCGGCCATGGCAGGGAACTACTCCGGGAAAACAATCGCCAATTACATCTTCGGTGTGCGGGCATGGCACGTACTCCACAGCATCACCTGGGACCTTAACGACATGCAAATCGAGACGTTACTCAAAGCAACCGTCTCGCTCACCCCAACCAGTGCACAACGAAGCAAACGCGAACCTTACACCGTCGAGCTAATCACAGCCATAAGAGACCAACTAGACCTCAATAACCCACTAGATGCGTCAGTTTTCTCTTGCCTAACGACGACCTTTTACGCCACTGCAAGGACCTGCGAATTCACGGTACCCCGCCTCGACTCCTTTGACCCCAACCTGCACGTCACCCGCAACAACGTCTCAGGTCCGAGACAGACAGAACCTGTTAACGAAGAATTTCCACCTTCCGCGCACCAAGTCAGCATTAGAAGGAGAAGACGTGCACTGGGCACAACAGCACGGCCCTTCAGACCCTGAAGAAGCCTTCAACAACCATATCCGCATCAACGACCCTCCAGCGAATGCCGCGCTATTCTCTTACAGGTTCAAAGACTCCCACCGTCCTCTCACCAAGACAAAGTTCCTGAACAGACTAGCATCTGCAACCAGAGCTGCGGGTCGCAAACCAGTGCACGGCCACGGCATCCGCATCGGTTCCACCCTAGAATACCTCCTACGGAACATTCCTTTCGACGTCGTCAAAGTTAAAGGACGCTGGGCAAGCGATGCATTCCTCGTGTACCTGCGGAGGCACGCCCAGATCCTGGCCCCATATATGCAAGCCACTCCCAACATCCAAGAACAATTCCTTCGTTTCACCCTCCCATCAGTGCGCTGATCGCAACACTGAAACACGCAGATGTAAGTCACCCTCGTCCATCTCCTAAGAACTGGGCACCCGAGTTTCGCTGGATGCGTCGTCGGACTCCTGGTGTATGGGAATCGCAGCTCACCTCTTCTTCCCTTAGGTTTGGACTCTTTCCCTTGGGGCCGGAAAGCGCTGCGCGCCTTCGCCCAAAAACTTATCATTACCATCACTCTCCCTTATCGTTACTTCACTTCTCTCAGTTGGGCTTTCGCCAATGAATATTATTTCTTCTACTCCTACAACGCGCTGGAGTGAACCTCCAAGACTATGACCCATTCTGCATGTGCACCACTGACAGCCGGTCATAGTAGGCCTTCACTTCCATCCATTTATCCCTTAGTTCTGGATGTGCTTCAACATACAAAGTCTTCATATTCGGTATGGTCGCCCGCAAAAATTGCGCGACAAGTTCAGTGTGCTCAATAACCGAATCCCGGATATTGAGCACCTCCAGGAACTGAGCACCAACCGTACTGAGACCGCCGATCGGTACTTCAGGGATTTCCCTTGCATCCAAGGACAGGTGCACGCGGGTGAGCTGTGGGCAGTATTGGGTCAACGCTGTCAGGCGTTCAAACTGACGCTGGGAATTATGTAGGACCAAGGTAAGCTGCAGAGTCGAATGTCCTCGAGTTTGTTCCAGGCTTTAGCCGCTGCAATGATGAACTCATCATCTAAATTGAGCGTACCAAGATTGTATACTTGGATGGTGCGGAGATTGCGGCAAGCGAATAGCGGTGCAAATATGGATGGGTAGAAAACAAAAGGAGTGTCGGCAATTGTGTTAGTTCGCATATTGTGTCGGAGAGAAATTGAACGAATAGACGTGCCGATGGCACTCAAGAATGAAGTGATGACGGAAGATTGTGCTTGGACGTCGTAGGAGACGGAAACATCTTCTAGCTGTGGTGAGGATATAAGCGATACAATAGATGTACACTGGGGAAGGTCGTATGCCGTGAGAATGAGACGCTGGAGAGCGGGGAAGGTACTATTATTTGCCCTATCGCGTAGTATGTCGACGTCGAAATTAGGGTGAAGATTCAAGGAGAGCTCCTGAACATGACGAAGTGATGCGATATTCAGCACACTCTGTGCAGATATACGAATAGAGCTGGAGACGACCAACCGACGTAAGTCTGGTAGTCCATGGGACGAAATGTTCAATTCAAATGGCGTCACTGGAAAGAACGATGAAATTGTGAGGTTTTCGAGGCGAGTAGCCTTCCGAGGAAGATCTTCTAATACCCCGCAAATGCCCTGAAGACACATCTTTCGAGGGAGGGTAAAGGCGAGGTTTGTCATTTTTGGGGAGAGAAAGTCCCGGATTAAGGTGAAGTTGGAGGAACTACACGACAGGATGGAGAAGTCGAGCGAGGAAAGTGACGGGAACAGAGACTGCGGAGGGCGTTCAGCAAAAAGGAGTGGGAGCGCGTCCTCGTGTAGTCTGATCATTTTCGTTTGTTTTGGGTATGAAAAACTCTTCACACGACGTGAATACATGTCAAATCTTGCCCACTCAGATTCAGCAGGTGGTCTCGTGAGATACTATAGGAACTGCAATTATGAAATTGCATACCCATAACGAAATGAAACTTACAAGTATATTGCCAGAGTGAATATCCCAAGTGCCTCTTGGCAAGCACATGATGAGAGGACTTAACGAATGTTGAGTTCGCCAGAGGGTGTCAAGAGCACATTCCATAAAGCAACGGCATGTACGAGCTAGCCTAGCAAGGCCGCTTGTATTTTCCAAGCGCTTCAGGTCCCGCTGACCATCGGCAGCGACGAACTGAATGATATGAGAAAGAATCTCGTCAATGAGCAGAGACTGATGCATGGTAAACCACAATATTTAGAAAGTTCAAAACTCTGCAGAGTTTTAACAGAAGTGGATCAGCCAAGGCAATCAGCTACATCCATCTTGGATTCTGAATATTAAATAGGCTCACCTCCGACGACGATGCCCCGGGCCAAAGGCTGTCAGTGTTGAAATTCAAGTTGAGAACGGGAGTCGAACGGAATGAAAAATTTCTCAAGCCTGGTTATAATAACTTACCTCATGATAAACGAGGGAAGACTATATGACTGACCAAGCGATAAGGAATAGCATTCTTTACGTGATCCGCAGTGACTCCGAGTCTGTGCTGGTACGTGAGCACACATCCAAGAGCTTTTCGGAGGCTAGGCTCCAACCGGTGTTAGACACTGCTACTGCATATTATCGCAGGCGTTGCAGAGAATGACTCTTGACTGGGTACTTGATGCGGCTGTCCGTCGATGAGTCGAGGTATAATAACTACTTACTGCGCTTATAGGATGGCTCGAGTAGTAGTAAATTCCTTGCCAAGGACGGAACCTTTGATCCCGCGGAATCAATTTGCGTCCGCATGCGCTAGGCGCTCACTAGCACTATCCGCGCCGCTCGGCAGTCTCCTATTTGCGTGTGTTGTTCGCTTATCTCCGTGTCTCTTTTGCAACTGTACTCTACCTTTTCCAATGCGTAACATCGCTCATTTATCTCCTAACTATACTCCTGTTCTTAAGAGTGCGATATCGGTGAGGCATTCGAACGCTTTTGCGAGAAAAAGACAACAACAAACGTAATATACAGGCATCTTTTATTGTAATTCACAGTCGAAGATGAACGGAGCGCTTGTACTTATGTATAACGCACCGCGGAGTCACGGACGATGAGTCTGATAGGTGGGAACTTGCTCCAGAACAGAACCTCCATGAATGCTGTGAATATTAATATGTGCTCATTCCTTTCTAGGACATTTTGGAACCAGCGTAACAACGTCAATGACTCGGATGAATGGCATGCGTGAGCTACGTCAACGTCCGAGTTGGCACAGCTAGTTATATCTCGATAACCACCCCACAGCTCAGAAGACAGGGGAACTTGCGACATTGGTAACGGGTCGCTTAGCTCTTCAAAGGAGTTATCACGTTTCGCATAATTATTATAGCGTCGTTCGTACTATCCATGCTTCGACTTGTGTCAGGCGGCTTCGTAACAGGCTAAATATGCGTGCCGCGTGCATTCGAAGTTTCTCACCATTTTCAAACATGTATGACCAGACCGCACTGGAGCGTGCATGCCTTCCGTGCCTCGCAGCTGTCTAGTTGCGGTGAAAATTCCTGAACGACTTTGTCGCACGTGTAGATGAGTAGGGAGAGTGTTGCGAAAGTGAGTACTGTCATCGCGACAAAAATGACATGGTGATTAGGGGCTAGCAACTGTATTGTTGGAGTGATGCTGTCGAAAGAAGTTCGACGTACACATGAACGTGTCGTACACGTGGATGGCTAAGCGAGTCGCGAGAGAAACGCGTGTCAGACGTCTTCATGTTAGGTATGTAAAATTGTCTTTCATCTCGCGTTCACTCGTCACGCGTCAGTTCTTTTATTAGTACATAGTACTAGTTTGAGACATCCGCGTATATCTAGTCGGACGGACAAAAACACGTTCACAATGACTAACACGTCGAGTTCTGCATTACCTACAGGTGTCGAAGGAAAATAGGCTCATCCAGCCTGGAGTATACTGCGGTACTACCACGGACAGTCGCGCACTCAAAAACGTGGTCCAGACTGGTGTAATTACGAGTCTAGGAGGAAGCACGAGATCGATATTATAAGAGCGCATTATATGCGACTCGCAAACCTAACACTCTTGGTGTGATTAATACCTATAGCCATGTTGGTAAATTTATTATCCATCACAGCTTCAGAGATGAAGCGTGTGAGTGCTGTTGTCTTCAGAATTTAAATCACTGGAAATTCATAGAGCTGGTACATGACCTATGGGATGCATCAGCTGGGCATGACACTTATAGACAGTGAACAAATCGACTAAGTTCCGCTCGCGCTGGAACCCGAACATCATGCATGTATTAGGTGCTGAAATTCGAAAGTGTACATGCTAGCATGTACAGTGACATATGATTATACTATACAATTTTTCTATGTGGAAATCAGTCATATTATAACACTCCTAGTCAGCTTCACAACATGCACGCCCAAACTTTCTCCCACCCATCACGAGTATACCAGCATATGCGGGACTCGGACACCTTTAAACGAATACCATTTGATCGAATACATTCCTCTCCAGGATCGATCTCAGCAAATGCCTCGATTCCCTTGGAAATACAGTCATACTGGTCCCTCAGCAAGGATGCAGACAATGTCAGCAGCTCCACGTACGAGTGGATTCCCGTGAAGGTCAACGCAGATTGATCGACGGAGGGCTTGATACGCGGGTACGGCAGAAAGACGATTTGAAGGTTCTTGAAAGAAGCCCATGGAGTGATCTCCATCCACAGAGGCAGGCGGTAGTCCCGACATAAGTCTGTCGTGTGTGACCCGTAGTCGCATACGTATGGGGTTGAGAGGTGAGAGATTGAACTAAGGAAAGCAGATCCCTGGGGAGTGTCTGTGAGGCGCTCCCACCGTGGGCCAGTAGTGGGGATACACGATAGCATCAGAGTTTGCGTGTTCCAGGGAGGCGGAGAATGTTTGTTGTTGACATGTGCGGCCGCACGGAACTTCCATGCATGTTCCAGGCATTCTACGAGAAGGTCCAGACTTGTCCAGCTGAGGGCAAGGGACGGTGCAGCGAGTAGTATCGGAGCCAGGAGGCTGATGTCAAGCGGAGATTCTAACGGCTTCAGTGCATAGGCCCGGGGGGTGTAGGGCAAGTGAGCTGGCGTGAGATTCCCACCATGGGATACAATCCACATCTTGTGTATACGAGGTGCGTACTCAAAATGGAGATCGTTTCCTTTCTTCCTGTACGCTTTTTGCATACGTAGAGCATGCACGAACTTTTCTGCGCGTCGAAGGTCCCGCAGCAATATGGTGTGCAGGAGTTCGGGAAGCACAACGCGCCTGACAATTTTGGAGACGCGACAGAGTGCGAGTGCAGATGAATATGGACTTCTAGCATCATATAAGTCAGCCTGGTCAAAGGTCGGTCGCGCGGCATATTCGAAGATCACGAAGGCAAGCTCAACTGGAAGGTCGGTAAACGAAAATAGGGCAATAGGTTCCATGGCGGGCAAGTAGGATGCGAAGCTGGTTTGAAGGAGCCCTGCCTTTAATACTCGTATTGTCATGACTTATGTACAGCCTCGCCCGCAGCAGTGTACGGTAGACGATCGTATGGAGGACCACGCGCTGTGACCCAGAGGTTCGACCTGTCCATAGCAGCGCTTATTGTTCCTTCTAGGTCACAACGTGATGATCAACAAAGACGCGGGTTTAAACGTTCACCATGTATGGCTTACAAACCTGGCCTGTTGCGCCCTGACCTGTGAAAATTCTTAATCAGTAGGAATATTGATGCAGATATAGCACTGCCACGAACCATAGAATAATTGTTTCGATCAGACCCATCGGGCAGCACATACACGCCGAAGCCTGTCACGACCCTAAAACTTTAAATTTACATAAAGGCTTGACCAGAACTCTGGGCGGCTGGTGATGTGATGCCAATCGGCAGAATTGAGAATCCAAGTAGACACAAACACGGTTACGCAAACGACAGTACATTCCCCTAGCACAGTGGTACAACCAATTGGAGTCGTGCAAAGTGGAGCTTTGGCAGGCGACTTATCTTCGCATATGCTGAAATCAAAAGGGTCTCGTCTTTTCTTCATGACGAACTGACAAGCATCGTTTAAACGAGACTCTAAGCAAGGTTCTCAGCTCAAGTCAGACGAAGCCTCCTCCTTTAACGTCAATTGCGAAATCGCTCACATGGGTGAAGCCTTCTGCATTGCACGACCAATCGACATACGAAGAGAGACAGAGAGGCCGGGGGTAGCATTTCTAATGCAAATCAGAGCAAGTCAATCTTGATAATATAAATGTATCCGCCAATCTAGGCCAAGGTTCACTGACTAGGTCTGTAGAATGAGCATCATAACAACAATGCATTGATCTTATCCAGTAGGACATTTCTCCCTTTGGTCTCGCTCTTTTTTAATCTCTCGACAACGTCCTCACCAAACCAGCCCTTGACGGTCCGTTTTTCGTCAGCACTCCCCTCTTCCTTGATCCGCTGCAAAAATTCTGCAATAATAAAGGCACCTTCTCCCCCAGCCATGCTTACTGTCAAATCCTCACCAACAATGGACATGAATGCAGACGCGAATGCAGATGGGGAGAACGACGATGAGCGAATGACGGATTTGCTAGCATGCGAGAAATGCCCGCCCTGGAAAAGGGATTTATACATTCGTGACGTGTGCGGGAGGTCAATTGGATGAAGCTTTGAAGCATCCTCTGAAGGGTATATCGACGCTAATGGTTGAAGGAGGGATTGCATAGCCGAAGACTTGTCTAAGAAACAAACGTTAAAATTGATAAAAATCGAGTGAAATGCACCAACCGCCGTCAGCATAAAGCATAATGTCCAACACTACCAAACTTCCACCGGTATCTCGCGCGGCTTCCGCGCCGTTGTCCTCGACGAACTTGAGCAATCCCTCACTTGCTGCTCCCCGTATTTCACCTTCGCGAATAACCGCACTTTTTTTGCTGGTTTTGCCACGTATAGGGTCTATCTCAGCAATTATCGCTATTTGGGCAGGTGTGAAATGCCGCCGTGATCGAGGTACAAGCAAGTAGAAAAGAGCACGTCGACCTTGTGGGGTGTTGATGAGTGTAGGGGCGTGGGTGGTGATTTCCGAAACAAGGGATTTGGCCGTCAACTTTGTATCACTATAGAAAAGTGTGTCAGGATTCATCAACACTGAGCCAATAAACTAGAAAAACAAACTCGATCACGTCTAAGGCTGTGAAGAGGACGAGCTGAGCCTCATCGTCTGTACACATACGCTCAACATGAGGTTTGATGACTTTGATAATTTGTTTTCGGTCCTGTACGACAAACATCAATATTCGCCACTCGAGTCAACATCTGAGTGTACCTTAGCTGTCCCATAAGCGATTAAGTCTCTCACAACCCTGCTACCGTCTTTTGTATGGACCATCTCGGCAAGGACATCCTGGCAACTGCAGATACAGTGTTAACGAATGATATATCAGTTAAGCCTGTATTTACCTTTCAAATATCTCTTTGCGAAGTCTTTCTCGTTCTGACTCATCTTCCGTCACATTGATGGCAGATAAGTATTCCAAAAGTGCCCTGTGAACGATTGCATGGGTTATGGCACCTTTATCTGAATTGTTAAAACTGTCGATAGCGTCATCGATTAGAGGAATACATGATGTTCAATTTCAGATGCTTACATCCTAGTTAGATTTTCTTTCAGTGCTGCCAGTACGCGTTTTCTTCGTTCGCCCTCAAGGCCTTCAAGAACCCCAGGAAAGCCTTTTCTAGCATTCGCCTTCTCAGGTTCAGAACCTTGTGTTTGAGAGAACAAAGCGACTTCCTTGCCGTAGAAGTCGCGAAGAAGAATTGAACGCTCGTATGCATTTGCATAGAGCTCGAAGGAATCGGCAAGAACCACAGATGCTTCCCGGTGTGTAACAGGAGACGGAGTACGTTGGACTGGAATTCGAGCAAGATAGATGCTCGATGTGCTGGACAGAGTCTGATCAACTTGGTCACTAAGAACTACTACCGTCGTCAACAAAAGGCTTGGGAGTGAAGATAGACCACACAAACCTTCGAGTACTTGCTTTGAGCTAATGCCTTGTAATGACCTTTAAGCTCCATCGCGACCTGGTCCCTCTCCTTTTGCCCACCATATTTCACAACAGTCTGGATAATCCTGCTTGCGTCATGCTTTAGAACGATATCCTTGACTTTTCCTTGGGTGACCTTCATCAGTTCTTTCACATGCTTCTGTCGTTCCGCGGAGGGTATGCTTTTTTGCCGAGCTAATGACCAGACGCGCTTTGCATCCGCAAGTAACTGTGAATGTGGTTTAGCTGCTCGACGCTGTTCCTGCAGTACACGTTGGACTTTATGTGATTCTCTCGCAGCTATTCAGAACGGTATGAATCGTTTGGATTGTGTCTCTGTAATCGTCAACATACCGTTGGGGTCTCTGCTGGAAGCACCATCCACAATCATCTCATCTGGGACTATCTCCTGCTCCTCAGCTTCTTCTTCCGCAAAGTTATCTTCTTCGTCATCGTCGTCCTCATCGGACAAGTCGTTTGCTGGTATTGGCTGTGTAACAGGTCTACTCCGTTTCTGGACTTTTCCTTCCTCGAATTTCGTTGAGGAAGGATTTTCGGAGTGCTGTTTCTTGGATTTGGGGCCACCTTGTGAGACCGCTGGTCTTTTCTTTGATGCGCTTTGCAGGCCAGGCATCGGAAAGGTAGGGGCTGGGCGTTAACGTTGAGCAGAGAAGCTCTTGGGCCTCTATCATCTTGGAAAGTTTTTGAGCACATGTTCAGCGATCTTGTCCACGTGACTATTTATAGCGCCTAAATTGATTTACGCGCTTTTCTCCGAGCGTTCAACTTGACTGTACATACTGAAGTCCTGATGCCAATATTTTTTCACCGCGGTGATCAAGATCCTACGTGCTTCGTTCCACGTGATGAGATGCTCTCGCCCGTCGAGTACACGATGACAACGATGCGCTGTGTGCGCAGCACCGTCTTGACTCTTCCCAGTATACCTGGCCACTTCAAGTTGTGATAGCGAAGATCTTGATGGCGTAGGGACACCATATATGCTACTGGATTGGCTTGGTGTCAGAACGTTGGAGTGGAACACATTTTCCACCACCGACTGCAAAGGGAAAAACTCAGCTGGCACAATACACTGCGGACTTGCTGGCACGCACTCTTATGCGTACTAGCACTCAGTTATCACTGACATGAATATCGAGGGGAATCGACTCCCACCTCACGTGCAGGACCTCTCTGCATTCGAGTCCATTGATTACCTGATCTGGACACTATCATGCAATGGCGGAAGAATTCGTCTCATCCTTGAACACTTTCCTGTTTCCGCTTATCCGCACCAACCTTGGCCAACTGAATCTAGTTGACGATAATTCCAACATCACTGGGTATGTATCCAATACTTGTTGCTCTGATCGAGATTACGCAGCTGAGAGCTCGTCAGGGTATTAGACTGCGATGACTGGGCTTGTTGATTACACCTGCAATGCGCCGTGATGTGCCCGGCGATGATTGCTGCTAGTACCGATCCTCCGTATGAAGGACTTTTCTGCTAGAATCATCTCCTTTAGCCTGTCTGATGACATCCCGACTCGTTTGCCTTCCTTGATGGCAGACGATGAGCTGCATATCTTTCAGTTGACAATCAAGAGCAAAGGTGTCCGAGTCTACACCCATTGGGCGACAAAGTACGCCTTCTCAATCCTCGATGGATCGAGGCAGCTACTGGGGCTCTGCCTGGATTCGTTCTGGCTCACCCTGATATGGCGAGTCTGTCGGAAACACATCGTCGTTTGTTGGAGATGCTGTGGGATGGATCTACTTCAGAATGGGGTGGTAGTAGGTCTTTACCCTTGTCTCACTTCCTATTATATTTGATAGGGATGTGCGCCTCCGGTGGTGCGCTCTGGTTTCTCGTGTATGGCTGGGTCTGGCGTAAAGGCAGGCAGGGACGTCCAGGACCAGACATCAGCCACCCCTCAATGCGCGCCTCGAGTTCGACCTCTGAATATTGTGAGCAGCCAAGACCCTGCCTGCTTCTGGATAGGCTGATCGGACCGCTGATTCGTGAGCCGCAGTCCTCGACATCGCTTCAGAATTCTCCATGTCGCATGCATCCTTCTCATGAATGCATGGATAGTGTCATGACAGTCACGATAAGTTCACAAGGATTGTGCAAAATGTCCAAGATTAAATCAGCAAAGTACAACTACGCATACAGATATAGCAACGAAACGCGGTATGAGTTCTTTGTCAACTCTTAACGCCACTTGTTCTAATCATAGAATACCAGAGCTCTCAGCTCGATGGATTCCCGAGCCGGCGTTCCCTCTGGAGTGTTTGGGTCCTGGAACCCAGTATGAGGGGTCAACCTCGCGACACTGCCATCTTCTATCGAATCAAAGCTAGGACCCTTTCAGCACGACGGAAAGCTTCCTCGAGTTGCTTCGCTCACCATTTGATAAGAACAAACTCTTCCGGGGTCATTGCCTTCAGGTATTTCCACTGGTGGTTTGGGTTGTATTTGACTCCAAATGTCTCACCCTCGCGGTCAGCGTATAGAAGAGCGACAGGCACCAAGTCTTTCTCCACATCTACACTGCGGAAGTCGCATAGTGCAAGCGGCCAATCTACAGCTGCATGCGATATAGGACGCCAAAGGTTTATGATTTGAAAGCGTCTGCGAAGGAGGGAAGGAGCTTCTGTAGGCGGGAGGTGCCTATGAACACGAGCAATGGACGACGCAGTTGTTTGGTCCACATGAACCGCGGAGACTGGTTGACGTTTCTGTGGGTCATCACCTGCCTCACCTGGGCGACGGCGACGAATAGCTGTGACATGAATTAGGGATCAAGACCTCGTTTCAAATTAGTGGTCAACTTACTGTGATCGAAGATGACAACGCTGGTCGCTCCCGTGACCCTCTTGATGAGGTCGATACTCTCAGGATAGTATTCGCGTTCAACTTCACCATCATTCAAGAAGCTGGTGTGCTTCGCTGCTTCTCGCCCATACTGAAATCCAGCATTGTCAACCTTGTAAAGTTCCTCCTTCCCGCGCACGTCCTCAATTTGCACGTCATGCGGCTCCTGGGTCCAGTTGCGGGGCGGCTTTGTCGTGGTGCTATCTGCGTAGATTCTATTGTAAGGCCGAGAGCCGTCAAGTGGAGCAGTGAAGTACTGGAGGGTGCTGATGGTGTCAGAAGCCATGGTTAATCAGTTAATGCTGGACGTAAAGCGGAATGGAAATGTCTTCTGTATCATGAGCAAGTTATATCCTACTTATATATGTCTTCAAAGCTTCAAGGGCCGAGGAAGTCGCTTGGCTTACATATCACATTATCGATTCTCCTGGCCCGCTGATTGTTAATATGGATGAAAACATCTCATAAGCATGACACCACCGATTAATGCGGGTATCCATATCCAAAGTTGTAGAGCTTATTACCTTATTAAGGCTCTCCCACCTAGTATACATACATATAGCGTGCACAGCAGCAATAATGTCGTCATTTGGCGTTGAAAGCAGCCGACATAAATTACTCCTATAGAGACTATACCTGTGAAGCCCGAATATGTCCTTAAAGGTCGGAGAAGACAAGATCTCGCCAAAGGCATGATAATTTGTCATATAAGGCCGAGCACGCAACCGCAGAAGGGAAACGGGCATAGATGGTCCATAACTGCCACTATATTGTGGAGAGTGATATCAACCAGACTGGATCGAGCTTCATCAAGTTGCATGTGCGTACGAGGCGCACAGTACTAGTCCAAGTCAATGGGAGCCATCAATGTAGAGTCGCTCGCCGAATCCGGATGGCATGGATGAGGAAGTCGCGCAGCGCCCCATAGCTAGGCCTGAGTGAGGTCGTAGAATTATGAGGCGTACTCGGTCCAATATTCAGAGATGTGGAGGAGTACGCGATCCAGAAAGCGCACGCATACATGAAGCGTCGAAAACTCGGATGGAGAGTGCTGAGTAGTGAACGTGAAATACTACGTGATACTTACTTGAATGTAGAAAATCGGAGACACCAGACCTATGGTCATTGATACCAAACAATGACAAATACAGATCAACCGTGTATCGTGCATCCACTCGCATGATGATATGTGAATTTACCAGGTCATGTCTGCTCGCTCGTTCCAAATTGATGACCCAGAACGTGGAAATAATGCACCATATATATCACAATATTGATCCGTGATCGCGACAACTTCGGACCATATGAAATTCACGTCTTTTGTGTGCTCCAAAGTCGTGAACGTTAAATCAACCTCTTTTATCTCTCATACTATCGTTTATACGCTGATTTGAGCAGGCTGACTCGAGACCCGGAGTATACGATATTGTCCCTGTTCATAGGATACTTATTTCCTGTTTTTGAACACCTCATTTGTATTGCGGGTACCAATGGCGAGTTTCAAACTTGCTTCACCCTCACACAGTCGCATTTTTTACTACCAATGACAGCCTCCAGGGTTCCAGTTGCTGTCATTGGTGCATAGACTGGCTCGTTCCGCTGTTCTCTTTCACACTTCCTCATCTTGGACATACTCCCTAGTATCTAACTTACTGTCTCCTCCTCGACTGCGCACTGGATGCCTTGTGATTTGTAGGGGCGATGGGCGATGGGTCCTAGCACTTACAAGTGGTAAGATCTATGTCGTTAAATGTGTTTAAGATGTTATACAATCCAAGCTTTCGGTATTCGACGCGCATACTAGTATGTATGGTAATGTTGACCTTGAATTCTTGAGACAGGCACTATGCCAGCATCAAAGAAACCCCCAGTGACGCTGTGAATTCATAAGGTGGTTTGTACGTGGCCAGGGGGAAACAAAAGGTGCTGAAGCATCCACGTGTCTGCAACATTGTGTATATGGATAGGTACTCATGAAACTTTATTTTGATAGAATAATGAATGGTGGTCTCCCTGAATATTCATGTATCGAAAGCGAAACCGACGAGCGAACAACGACATGTAATACAAGTTGAACGATTTCTCGTCCGTCGCTGGGTGGGAAATGGAACACAGATTGACGCTATTGTATAGGTCATGGTTGAGAACCGAGAAGCGAAGAGAAACAAATTTAATGAGATGAATGTATACAATTCAAGGCGGCGCCCAAGGCCAATAGCTGTCACATTCAGAAATTCATCGTTGCTAATCGGAAGCTCTTGGTAACACCAAATTCTCATCTGTATCTCCAGCGCGGATGCATTGATGCTTGGCTTTACCAGGGGGGCTATCTTTGAATCGCTGCCACCGCCAGTTACATAACACCCTAGTATTGACACCAGGAGAACTCACCTTTACACCTTTGAACACATCAGAAAAATACCTTGCCTGTATTACTTCATGGTTTCGCCTGCGAAGTTACAGACATGGCTTCCGCGTCAGCTCTACGAAATCGATTCCGATGCTATCAATAATTTTGAAGGGTCACAGAGAGTGCGCGGGATGTTTGCGAGGGAACATAGGCGCGGTGGTAGTATTAAGGGATGGACGATAGATTGTCATTGGTAGTGGGGATGACGATCGCGGGGAGCTGAAAACCTGTGAGGTTGAAACAAGGATTATTACTGTAAAGCATTTGGAGGTCGCTCAAAGAAGATCAGCTGCATTGATATCTTTTACGGACAGCACAATGCTAACAAGCGTGTCAGAGGATAGAACAGCGCGGATATGGAAATTGGACGCTGGAGAGGACATACTGGAGGTGATGGGTGAAAATGACATATGAAGGGAGCATGGTGGAAAAGTGGCGATGATGGAGGTTGAGGAGTATATAAGACTCAAGAGGGTGCGACGGCGGCATAGAATGGATTGATGACGTCGATGTTGGGTAAGTCGTGTTCGGTGGATGCAACAAGGAGAAGAGTGCAGGATCCTGGCAACTGATGATGGAACCTAGCTGTTGATACTCGCATGTGCAAAGATGATCAATAGCATCCGGTCAATGAACAGACGAAAGGCAGCTCTGCATAGCATCAATCTTGGTACCGATCATAATACACGAGTCGATGGAAGATTATTGAACGATTAGATTCTTTCTTCATTCGACTTTAGTACTGATATCAGAAGTGCAAGACACCACCTATAGAGAATTCTGCGTCGCACGATTTGAAGTAGTCAGGTTTAAATCACATTATACGCACGGCTGACGCATCCAGCAAATTCCCCGTCTTCCACAAGCTTGCCCTCCATTTCGCGTTCCAGCACCATTTTTACCAGGGCCTTCCCGGATTCTGCAAGATTGGTTTCTTGTTCCGCAACGCTTCGTAATTCCTCATGAAGCACCAACCTCGCCATCCTTTGGGCAACAGCTTGTCCGTGATCACGCTTGAGCGAGGTAAGGTCATGATATAAAGGTAGTGAGATATGTCTGCCGTTTCTACGATGACATTAGTCCACTGGTTTATGAAAGAGTCGATACGAGACTTACCTCCCAGTCGCCCCAGAACACGCATCTCTCGCTTCCGACATAACAGCTCTAACATCATGCCCATCAGCACCTGCACTATCCAAAATCCTCTTTACAAACGACATCTCAATGATACCCGACCCAACAACAACAATGTCAGCATGCGTCGGGAGCTGGGAAATGTGAGCGGCGATAAGTGAAGGTAGGTAGGATCAGAATGAGAGACTAGGGCTTGGGAGTGGGAGCGCTGGATGCACGCTTGGAGGGTTTTGAAGGTGTGGAGGTTGTCAAGGAATTTCAGCTAGTGCTAGGCGGATGAGGGAGTTGTTGCCCATCGCGGGAAGGAAGGGACCGGTGCGCTTGCAGTTTGTCGTGTTTTATGATTTCCTTGCAAGCTCGGTGTTGTTCGTCTTGGGCCATAGGCTTATAGCTCGATGAGTTCGTGTCAGTTGCGGACTTGTTATATGTACCGACTCCGTGGCCTGCGTGTATCTATCATCAACATCCTCACCAACCAAGTAAACTGACTCACCTACCTGCCCGTCGGCAGCGTCTGAGGTCACAGGACTTGTACCTGCATGTAAACAACCGCACACTCGCACTTGAGAAATTCTTCTGGAGTATTGATGCCTTGGCGAGTATTGCTCTTGAAAGGCATTGGGAGAAAAGGGACATGCAGCACGGATTGCATAGGAGATGTGATGGATTTTGTGAGAAGGTGGAGGAGGGGCTGGGAGAACGTATACCTGGCCGCAGGAATCATCAGTGTCTAGGTACTCGAGTCAAATGAAAAATGATGCCGAATGTTGATGACGAGTGAAAATGACTATTTGAAGGGAGCGCCAGTCTTCTTTGTGGAGAAGTGGAGATGTTGAAGGAGTGTAGAAAGGGTTGATGACGTTGATGATACGCATATCCGTCAGGCGTTTTGGGTTAGTAGAGCAGGATCCTGGCGCTCGTGCCAGAGCCTAGCTAGCTGTATGTCAAGGAAGTGCGAGTCTTGAGTTGGGGCCCAGGTCCAACTAGTTGGGCTTGGGGTATGTCGTGGAATATTGGATAAACGCTGCCATTTTTGTCACAACAGGTGGCAGGATCCTGACGAGTCACTACTGCCAGTACAACTTAAGATGATAGCCTCAGTTTGAACGGACAAACCTTACATAACTGCAGGGCCTACCTGCCACATTGATGAAAACCCTTGGTGGACTTAGCTTATTTTAGGTATACTGGTTGGGCATTGGGCAAGCATTGGGCGTTGGGCGTTTGGATAAGCACTGCCGAGTATGGAAGACAGGACTGCCGCGCTCCGTTACATAGCGTGACCACACTCATATCGGGCAGGTGTGATGCAGGGACTCCGTGCACCTCTAGTGTCATCTACTATATCGTAGCGGCGGCCATGCCGCCAGTCCCCGACTCTGCTTGGTTTTGTTTTCTATATGCTGTACATGCTTGTACCTTCGATATACGACCTCCACCTTTTATTCTATCTGAATCTTGTATGTGGACTGTTGTCAAGGACCATTCACATACTTCTCAATTGCCACTGCATTTGTTAGCAAGTATGATTACGACTTTTTAGCTTTACCCTCCCTTCACAAGTTCAGTGAGCAAGCGCTCCTCATGCTGTGCCCCAAGCTTGGCCATTGTGTCACCCCGAGATGGTCGCATTTTTTGATGGTGAGTTACCCCTGCCTTCTATCCCATTGCGTGCCCGTTGGACCTCTCTCCTGGGCCACCCGCAATGCTCGGTTTGGCCGTTTTGCCCCGGGTTGAGCGAGGTGGTTTCACCCCCACCCTCCCCCATGTCCACATTTGAACTCCTCACCTCCTCCACCCACGACGCTCGGTTTGGCCGTTTTGCCCCGGGCTGACTGAGGTGGATTCACGCTCCCCTCTCTATCGTCCACATATACATCACGCAAGGGGGCATGGCCCAATACATTTGTTGATGCCCTTGCATTCCAGAGTTGTTGCGAGTTGAACGTGGAAATCAAGTACGCGTGTCACGACGGACGGTTTTTCATTCAATACACGTAAGCTGCAACTGATTTACAGACAATTGACCGTTTGCGTCCGACAAAACCCTCCCTACTTCATAGAGTCGGGGACTGTTGTTCATTGCAAATTGTGCAAATTTTAAACACGACTGAGGGGTGTAGCCATGGGTCACTGCTAGTTCAACTAACACAAAAAGACAAACTCTACACTAAGTTAAGTCACCAATCAAATGTTTCATCGTTGTCCTCCTCATCAGAGAATCCCGCAATAACTAATGCCTCTTCCTCTATGATTGGGGCTGTAGGCAGTAAGTGTGCACCTGGTTCGTCCAACTCAGCCAGTTCATCCAGCCGGTGATGATCAGATGCATCTAATGTGCAGTAATTTAGTGCAAACTTGATTCAAACAGAGAAAACGTACCAAGACCTTGTCCGCCGTGAATGCCACCCATATAGTAAGCACCATCAGTATCCTCATGAAAAAAAAGGTCATTTTGGTTTTCGAGGAGAGGCAAAGGCTCTTCATCCGGGTCAGTGCCATCTGTAAGAGACCTGACAACAGCTGGCACCTGCACAGAGCGCTGCATCGAATCATACAAATCTAAGTAGACCGTCCATACAGACTGACGAGTGATTGGAGGGCGGCCTAGGTCTTCATAACAGCCTTGAATGAAGTTGTTGAGGGCTCGGGGAACCAAATCGAAGACCGGATGATCAGGGTTCACATAGAGACGGCGGACATAGTCTATATCGTCTTGTTTGACTGTTACCTAGAATAATAAGCCAGTTAGTGTGACAACGTGGTTCAAGTAGTATTTGAATGAAGCGCACCTTAAAGTTCAAGGCCCCGAAATCTTCTGGAGACTCGTATATTAGATTAGGTACACCGTGTGGAAGCACCTAGATTGTAAGCGCTAAACAAATGTAAATGACTACTATCAAACAATCAAATACCTTGTTACGATCTGGCCTCTTGAGGGTGTTATTAACGCGGTCCTGATACCTATCTAGCTCACACTGAAGCCATGGAATAAAAATCCAGCGGAAGATCATGCTAAATACACCACTGTGAGCAAAGTCGAAATGGTGGAAAGCCAGGCCCGAAGTCACTTACACCTGAAGGGTGTTATCACTATCATACCAGCCGTTCTCCACTCCTTCATCCAAGAGTGTTTCAAAACCAGGAGTAAACCGGCGCCGCAACTGAGACCAAGTGATCTCCGGTTTAACATTCTTCTTGGTCCGCATCCAGCGGTGTTGTAATGTACCTTGCAGTGCCGGATCATACATTTGACGAAGCATAGTGTGTGCATTGGCGATTCCATAGTTTTCAGTGCCGGGATCACTCTGAGTCACTAGTGGCATATCTGTCATACCCAGGCAAGGCAACTTAAATGAGTAACAGTGCGATAGATAGTTATTAAAACGAACTTACGACCCAGTTTCTGGATGGTCTCAAGATAGTAAGTGAGAATGAGCTGGGGGTTGCGGTTGGAATGCCACACTCGGATCCACATGATGCGACCCGAGAATGGCTCCACTCCAGTGTGCAATGCAAGACCGAATCGAAGCCACTTATCATGTTGATCAACAGCAAATAGGTCGTTGACGCCGGCGGCCCAGAACCGCCTCCGCTTGAGACGGCGAGCTTTTCGCTGATGTACGAGGTCTGCTTCATAGATGGCACAGTATGCTATCACTAAATTTCTATTTGGTAGCTAGTCAGATACAGATCAACGTCAAACAAATTAAGTACCTTGAAACGCTCATTTCTTTCTCGTGAAATAGCAAAATCACCATTTCCCGCGCACCAGCATTTGGGTATGCCTTGCGAAGCTCGATCATGGCTTCACGGATAGATTCGATGGTGTGGCTCTGCTGGCGGGTACGCAGGAGACCCATGTCATTGCGGATCTCTCTGAACTTCGTGTATCTACACACAAAGATCAGAAAAATAGTATCAATTAGTGGAAATCGACTCACCCTAGTCCATAACGAGACGTGTCAAAATGATTCTGCAAGTTTTCTACAATCTTCCTGTCTGTTTGACGCGCTTTCCAGTACCGAAGGATGTGAGGAGCAATCACCTCAAGAGGTGCTGATATTGCAAGTCATGTTAGCCTTGTAATCACAATACATAGAGAGGTGCATACGGGTTGGTTTGTTTTGGTTGGGCATAGTAGTTTGACTGACGGTCACCATGATAGCTGCACTTTAAAAGCTTCAATGGCAAGTGCTGATAGCAATAAGCGGAATAGGTGCACTGGTCAGCAGAATAGGAACACCAAGATAAGAGTGGAGCCAGCAGAATAGGCGCACTGAATACCAACTTGAACACCACTGGCAAGATAAGAGTTAGCTGAATGAACACCAGGTTGAATGTGACTGCACCCAGTGGAATAGGAACACCAAGATAAGAGTGGAGCCAGCAGAATAGGTGCACTGAGCACCAACTTGAACACCAAGATAAGATTTAGCTGAATGAACACCAGGTTGAATGCGACTGCACCGATAGAGTTGCAGCCTGAGGTTGAATGCGACAAATGGCTAGACTAGAACGGTCAGTACAATTGAATAAAGTCCGCCGTGATAAGTCCGATGCGGAGACTTTCGGATACACTGCGGCAGATAACTTTAATATGTTGAATCTGTGTGCTGTTTCGACCACATGGTGAATCTGTGCATCATTTTGACCATGATCATGGTGACTCACATGTTGCGCACAATGATCCAACTCGCTGAAGAATTTGCTGACTCTCGACTTAGATGCAACTCAGTACTGCGGGATATCAATGACCCTCCACTTACTAGATGCGACTCTTCAGAGCGGTGAGTTTTTCCAAACAGTTTATATAAAGCCTGTCTCTGAAGTGTTGTAGGGCCACTTATATTCCTTCAATTCCTTCACTCACACAAGCACCTACTAGCATCATGGAACTCGTCTCTCAGTTTACCGAAGATGCTGTTGCCAAGGAGGACCGTGTCTGTGGTCGACCTGCTTGCCGCAGCACAATACTCAAAGGCGCTCCATGCTATTATGTTGCCACCATTGTGCCTGGCCAACCTGGTCGCTTCGTTTGTGAAGCATGTTACTTGCGATACTCACAGAAGCTTTCAACTTCGGTCCGACCCTCTTCAGTCCGCCCTTCTTGTAAGTACACTTGAAACCCCTATATAGCTTTTGATCAATGACGCTATTAATTACATCCAGCCGCACAATCACAGTTACTTCCAAATCCTCATATCATACGCCAGACCGTGAATGCAGCACAACGCAAGTGTAAGTCAAATTTCTCTATTACATATCAAACATGTCTGAATGGCGAAATTCAATAGCAACTATCAATCCACCCCGTGTAGTACCCTTCTTGTCTCAGCCCTCCAGTAGCACTGCGCACATAGGCCGCATTTCAGGCCCAGATATCGCTGTGCCTCTATCATGGCAACAATCGCCGGCTAGTTCCAACCCGAACATGGTATCTGGTGCTGCAGGGTATTCTGTGCACCATGCTCAGTATGGTCTGGAGCGTGAACGATGGGCTAAATTGGCATATGCTCCGCCCCCTGCAGAGACCATCACATTAGAGATATCAGCTGTATACGAGGGAAATTCACGGAAGAAAAGTGGGCGCGGCATTAACTTTGGGGTACATTTGTTTTTCTTTCTATCTCTCCAGGTTGCTGTTTTTCTGATGCTCATAAATCAGAATATTTGTGAAGGAAAGAAGGACATCGATGCTCGCTTGGACGCCCCTGGGCTTATACAAATCGCTTTAGATACTATTCTACCGAAAATCCTCACATTTGGAAGGGGATTTCCTTGGCGCACAGAAGAATTTGTTGTCCGGGATGCTACCTGGGTTGACCTATCCGGACATTTGCCTGCCATTCCGTACTTCTTAGCTCAGTGCTTAGTCCAATCTCGACGCGGACCAAAGACGACAACTTTCAAGACCAAGCAATTCTTACTCATGGTTGTTGTGCCTGCAGCGCAGTGGAGTGAGTATGAGGCATGGCTGGATAAAACTAAGAAAGAAGAAGTAAGATTCCGCTCATTCGATGTATTGTCACTCTGCTAACTCATAGATTTCTCAGAATATCTTGCGTGAACAGCTCCAACGACACAGATCTATCATTACTGTTACTGAAGAACGAGACCCTCGAACTTCCGGCACCAACTCAGATGACCCATGGGCCGCACAACAAGAGGATGAAGACCCATTTGGTCTTGACTTCGAAGGACCAGATGCCTTATCTACTGTGGGACGTAATTCCACTGTTACTGACAGCTCAGCACATAATCCGACACGTCCATCAGCAAAGCGGGCTCATGTTCGCAGAGAGAGCGACTCCACAAATAGTACTGTGTCACCTCCTCGCAAGAAGCCAGCACCTGGTGTATTCCACCTTCCTGACCGTAATGATTTGAAAGAGGCCTTGAAAAGTGGAGGTAGTGTAGATGCTGTGCGTGCACCTAAAGGTGAGTTCATCCTTTGTCTTGAGGCAGGCATTCTAATGAGTATTGACTTTAGTTTATGACTTCCGCAATGAGGACATTCAATTCCATCCAACCTGTGCGCCCACTAGCCGATATCTTGAAGACTCCTCAGTATCGTTCATTCAAACCCAACATCTCAAATTCGTCTATCGGACAACTCACTATCGATGTCCCCATTCGCAGCATGATCGGTATCGGTGCCTTTAAGACAGCTCATCCAGGGTGGCTCACGCTATCTCCCCTATCCTCCAGTGGCCTTGGGTCGCGTGCTCAGCAGGATGTTGTGTCAAGCGGCCATTTCACAGACCTCCCCCTCACACCCCTGGATCCAGCATCCTCAAGATTTCACGTTACGCACTACCAGATGAGCATGAAAAACTCCTCAATGAATGTAACTTGTTGTACTGGGCAAAATCTCTCCTTGACTTCACTTACGAATACATCGATCACTGTATCAATGCCGCACCAACTCTGCCATCTTTTCCAATACCCCGTGTGCGTTTCGTGGAAGCGGGCATTGCTTTGGCGTTTTCTCGACACTCGTCAAACACTCAGGGCACCTCCGAACAAGCTCCCATGGCAGACATTAAGGCGGGGATGTTTTCGGCGGTTTATCTCCTTGAGGAGTGGGTGACGTCTGGTACTCCTAATGATCAGACATTCGTGAAGTTCATCCACAACAAGGACTACGGACCTTCACTTGATGAGGATGAATACGGCTATGACCTAGCCGTCTTTCTCTCGTTTACTCAGCACATCCAGTATGAAAAGACAGAGGGTCTGGCGTTCATTTCTGATTATCAAGGCAGCACCGAGCTTCTGACTGATCCTCAGATTTTGACCCACCGGTATGTGCATTTTCAGCTACTATGGTTGGTGACCTTCATTAACTGCTTCTCTAGCTCAGTCAATGAAGGAATTGATCTTTTCGGTGACGGGAACATTGCAAGTGTGGTGGACGACTTTAAGGCAAGGCACCTCTGTAACCACTATTGCAAGTGGCCAGGATTTGAGTTGGAAGTATATGCTTAGGAGAGTTACTTATTTTTGATGAGACGATGGACCTTGTAATCCGAGCGCTGCCAGGCAGAGACACTTTCAAGTTGGAAAGAACACTTGTAAATAACTTATTTATTCGAGATTGAAGTGCACGGAGTCCTATTGCCTTATATGCGATTGTGACATGACTAGTGAGCGCGGCAGTCCTGTCTTCCAAACCCATTCTTAGCGCTTACTAATTAGTGCAATCATACGCTATCGTGCCGAACTGAAATATGGAAATATGGTGCATCATATGCATCATGGCCTAGGCCATGGAGGCCTGAGGCCTGAACCCTCAACCTCTTCTCCTCTCCTACTCAGCGAAACTTTATCTACAGTCCCACTCATTGTGAACCCTCTCTTGACAGTTTCCGATGCTGCATATTTTTCGTCATTTGTTTCTTCCCACCATCACGCGTACTAGCTTTGAAAACGAATATATCAGACTCGAAAGTAGGTCACCCCATATTATCTTCGCATCTGTTTCGTGATCCTCACGATCCTTCTACAGTCATCAATGGAAAGAATCTGAAAGTCCCCTCCGAGCGCATTCCCGCTGGCATTTACGTATCCATCAAAGTCGACTCATGTGGACGCTGGAAATCGGCCGTCAGCGTATTGTCATCTGACGAATCTGTAGCATGGGGGAATACCGTGACTCTGTAAAATCTGCGGAGTATTTTTTCTGACGCGATGCGAGAACTGATCTTCGGTTTCTAGATCATCGCATGCCTCACCTGCATTATCAGTGGAGATCTGGGCGTCTCATGAGGTTGGTCGAATGCTAGGAAGTGGAGAGGTCATCGGGAAACTTCAAATGTCGTGGGATGAGCTACTGGATCATGGAGATGAACCTTTTGGTGAGTGATTTGCTCCTCATTCACGCACATATACTAATATCTCGCAGTTTTGTCCTTCCCACCCGTTCGTGGTGTCCAGCCTTCCCTCACGTTGAAGGCCGTCGTCGTACATACTTTCGACAATCAGGACGGTGCACTGTCTGACGTGAGTGACGCTAATCTCTACTGTTAGCTTTCGTTGACGGAACGCCAACTGCAGTCCCTCGTAGACTGCAAGATTACTCGAGACGCAGATGCGGGCCACGCAGGACTTGCCAAATACGTGACGTGCAAGAGGGTCTCTCACCTGAACGATGCTGTGCAGCATTTTCAGTTGGTTCTGGACCAGTGTCCGGTCGGCCATCCTGACCGCGCAGCAGCCCTCACCAACCTTGCATATGCACGCCTTCGAGGATATATTTACAAGGATCTTCAAGACATTGACACCTCCACTTCCCTCTTTCGCGAAGCCCTTGCATTACGTCCTCAGCGCCATCCCGATCATCCATTGTCTCTATATAATCTCACCAAAGCGCTGACTGGGCGCCACTCTTTCACGAACTACTGCCTCTCTGTACAGAGGGCACCTACCTCAGGAGCATCGCGGCAGGGGCTAATGGTATCGACTATGTGATCGGCGGATGCAACAAACTTCCAGTAGACGCGTCCGATGAGGGCATCCACCTTCGACGAATCATCCTCGAGCTTTGTCCCCTTGGCCATCAACTGCGTCCCAGTGCCCTTCACTGGCTTGCACAGGCGGTAGAAGCCCGCTTCCAACAGTGTAGCAGCATCGATGACATACATGAGACCATACAACTTCGTCGCGAAGCTATGTCTCTGCGCCCCGAGGGTCATCATCACCGTGGTAGCTACCTGAACAACTTGGCCTTGTCACTCGCGTTTCGCTTCAATCACCAAGGCAAATCTAATGACCTCAATGAGGCCATCTTGTTGCACGAAGAAGCGCTGCACCTCCGCCCTGTTGGGCATCAATCTCGTGATTTTTCATTGGATAACCTGGGGGGCGCTCTCATCACCCGTTTCAACAAACGCGGCGACAATGATGACATCATCCGAGCTGTTAGCCTCCTTCGCGAAGCACTGTCATTGCGCCCACACGGACATCCACGTCGTGATACCACACTTAGCAACCTTGCTGCTGCGCTCAACGCCAAATATGATAAATTGCATGTCAGCGAGGATCTTAACGAGGCCATCGATAAATATCGCGAATCCCTTCGGATAAAGCGGCATGACCATCCCGAGCGCCATAGAACTCTTCGCAACTTGAGCTCGGCACTCTGTTCTCGTTTTAAGCAAACTGGAGAGAATGAGGATGTCGAGGAGGCCATTAATCTCTGCCAAGAATCACTGGAGGCTTTGCCTTCACTGCACCCAGACAGGTATTTCGGCTACATGCGGCTGCAGGTGGCCTATTTGTCTCGTTACCGAGTGCAACTCGACCCTCTTGATTTGTCACTCGCTGTAGATAACTTTAGACTGGCGTCGCGGCATCCCACTCAAGGATTCCCAGAACGCCTCATTCAGGTATATAATTGGATTGTTGCAGCAGAGAGGCACAGTCATGCATCTGCGCTAGAAGCCTACGTGACATTTCTGGAGCTTCTTGATGGTCATTTGGCGACACGATCATCCACCATTTCACGGCGTGAAGCTGCCGCTGCCTTCCATTATGCCAGATCACTGCCTGTAGATGCTGCAGCATATACCGCACGCCATGACAATCTACGACTCGCAGTGGAACTCGTAGAGCAGGGGCCGTGACCAGCAATGGTCGCTGGCCTTTCGACTCAAGACTCCAGTGGAGACCTCGAGTCGGCAAATCCGACACTGGCGCACAACTATTTAGAGCTGAGGCAGGCGCGTTTCCGATGCCGGTCCAGAGTTCTGCAACCATCACCGACAGAGCTGCTGCTGATCGGGCAGCAACCGAGTATAGGAGACTTACAAAAGAATGGGACGCCGCAGTAGCTGAAATCCGTAATCTTCAAGCGTTCTCGCGATTCCTGCTCCCGCCGTTGTACGAAGACTTGCGAGCGGCAGCACGCAAGGGCCCTGTCATCATCTTTGTTGCCAACAAATACTTGTGCAGCGCCATCATTGTCACAACATCAGGAGAGCCCCATCTTGTTCCCTTACCATCTGTCGGTCTCGTAGAGCTGAAACAATCTCAAGAATCGGTTCGCCAGGGCGATACGAGAACGCATCTATCATGAACCCAACGGAGCCGCGGAATGATCTAATAGTGCTCTTGCGGGCAGTGTGGAACGAGATCATGTTACCCGTCGTCAACGTCCTCCAGCAGGACCTGAAATTAAAATCCCACTCTCGCAATCTGGCTGTGTCCAACTGCAGCATTCATAGTCTATTCCTCTCCACGCAGCTCACCCGTTTCGAACGAACGCAGATCGCTCAAGGAGCCATGCCTGGAGGATCTCTATATCTGCTCTTACACGCCGACACTTTCGGCTCTGGTTAGATCCAGAAATGATGAAGAAGCGCGACACTCCGTCCTTTGTGACAACGGACAAGGTCAACCGGTGGCAGGGAAATGCAAGGCGCTCTTGGATATCGACAACGAGCTTAAGCTTGTCCATGAGCTTGTGCCCGCGACCACTAACCAAGGCACTGTTTCTGGAGACGCAGCCACGCGGCAGGTGCACTCAAAGCTTTGGAAGAGAACACCTGGGTGCACCCTCGCTTGCCATGCCAAGCAGGACCCTATGCAGCCTTACAATTCCCATTTTTTTATGAGAGATCGACTTCTAACCCTGCTGGATATTATGGAGAAAAATATTCCAGACGCTGAGTTCGCATTCTTATCCGCGTGTCATAACCGCTGTCTGTGATGAGGAGACGCCCGACGAAGTCATTCACCTCGCAGCTGGTCTCCAGTTTCGGGGTTCAAGAGCGTCGTTGGCACGTTGTGGGAGGTCGACGACGCTGTCGCAAAACACGTTGTCAAAGCGTTCTACGAGAATATGTTCAAAGATTCCGAAGGATGGCAGTGTGGATGGACTGTACGAAGGCGGCCTGGGCAACTCAACCGTGCTACACACGCCGTGAAGATAGACAGTACCACTCGAGCAGAGGATAGTTTTCATTCATATTGGTGTCTAGTCCCTGCTGCATGCTTTCATCTGATACGGTTTCACGGGTTATTGTATTGCATTATCTTTTCGTCTCCCTTGTACATGAGTGATAGCAATTACTGAATTAACTTGTTACGTCTGCCACGTATTCTATGCTATGTTGTTTTCGCGTTCGCTTTCGTTTTTTGTCTTTCTAGGAGTTTTCAACAAACTCATTCGTTGCTCGACGGCACGTTGCCTTTGAATGTGTCGTTTTTGCGGGACTCGGCCAGGCCCTTCAACATTTCCTTATGCACAATCATCGCGCCTCATCGCAGGCAATATCAGGATTAGAAGCACAACTCATCTACAAACCCACTGAATAGGAGCCGCTTATAACCAATGCTTTCGGTAGTACCGAGACCAAGGGAATACTACAGCGCTAAGGTTCAATGCGAGACATTCTGGTGCCACCTGGTAAAAGCGTGGGGAGCTACTTAGTTGTGATACAACAGGTGGTCTGTCCACACCTTCGAATCTAATTTGATACTAAATCACTTATATGAATGCCAAGACGAAATTGTCCTGCTTCCTGCAGAGTAGCACACAAGCATTCCGTGTTGCTACATGCCGGACACTCCTGGAAGGCAATCGAAATCAGGCTAGTTCCTGCATCGGAGTCGGCACTAGCCAGGATACTAAGGATGAGGCGTGGTTCCAGCACACACGTCTGCACATGGAAGCAAGAGACAACAGCAAAGCCAGATCGCGGGAAACTTCAGCAGAACAAGATTAGCCGCATTTCAAATTAAACTCATCTCGCAAAGTGAACTTGAAGCACGTGATATTTTATTGACGTCATAAAACAGTTGCCAACAGCCCATCTTGTCGATGGTCGTTGCAGTCCGCGGAAGTGTTTTATAGCAATCCAGACTGAAAGGCATTGTGCGGCAAACCGAATAGAGAAGGTGATTGCGGCGCACAACTTGAGCCACTGTGGCGAGAGGTGACTGAAGAGACGTTCGCCGCCTTCCTCCCCGTGGTCCTGGGAGGCACCTATTCTTCCCTCGGGCAACCAATCAAACAAAATCAGCCCATCGGCAATAAGTTTCAAGCTACCTCTGGATAGTGACTTGATGATCGCTTCGCACATCTGCATAAAGGGTGGTCGACCTGTCACAACCTATGCCAGGATCTTGGTCGCAAACCAACGTAACTACGGGCCTCGAACCTAAAACAGGATGCATGTGGACCGTCACGTCAGCGAAATTGAGAGCCTGTGCATACTCGTCAGATTCCCATTGAGCCATCAGAAAGCAGCTATTACGGGTATAAGCTAAATATTATGTATATCAGCTCAGGCTCCCGCTATTCAAACCAACCTTATGATCTGCACCAAACAACTTTTCGATA